ACAGGTTTTCATGTAGATACACTATATTTCCAAAAGTATTCACTCACCCATCCAAATCATTGAATTCAGATGTTCCAATCACTTCCATGGCCACAGGTGTATAAAACCAAGCACCTAGGCATGCAGACTGCTTCTACAAACATTTGTGAAAGAATGGGTCGCTCTCAGGAGCTCAGTGAATTCCAGCGTGGTACCGTGATAGGATGCCACCTGTCGTGAAATTTCCTCACTACTAAATATTCCACAGTCAACTGTCAGTGGTATTATAACAAAGTGGAAGTGACTGGGAATGACAACAACTCAGCCACAAAGTTGTCGGCTACGTAAAATGACAGAGCGGGGTCAGCGGATGCTGAGGCGCATAGTGCGCAGAGGTCGCCAACTTTCTGCAGAGTCAATCGCTACAGACCTCCAAACTTCATGTGGCCTTCAGATTAGCTCAAGAACAGCATAGAGAGCTTCATGGAATGGATTTCCATGGCCGGGCAGCTGCAGCTTACATCACCAAGCGCAATGTAAAGCGTCGAATCCAGTGGTGTAAAGTGCCATCACTGGACTCTAGAGCAGTGGAGATGTGTTCTCTGGAGGGACGAATCACGCTTCTCCGTCTGGCAATCCGATGGACGAGTCTGGGTTTGGCAGTTGCCAGGAGAATGCTGCTTGTCTGACTGCATTGTGCCAAGTGTAAAGTTTGGTGGAGGGGGGATTATGGTGTGGGATTGTTTTTCAGGAGTTGGGCTCGGCCCCTTAGTTCCAGTGAAAGGAATTCTTAATGCTTCAGCAGACCAAGAGATTTTGGACAATTTCATGCTCCAAACTTTTTGGGAACAGTTTGGGGAGTTTGGCCCCTTCCTGTTCCAACATGACTGCGCACCAACGCACAAAGCAAGGTCCATAAAGACATGGATGAGCGAGTTTGGTGTGTTAGAACTTGACTGGCCTGCACAGAGTCAGGCCATCTTAAGCAGACAGGAGTGTAAGAAATGGTTTCCTTTGTTTTTGTCTGATCCCACCTTGACCTCTCTATCTGGTTGTTCTCCATCGGAGCTCTGGGAGTGCGCAAGAAGCAAAGACACACACACACGTGCATCAAAGTTCCGAGACACACTCATTTATTTTGGAACGGAAGGGCCTTTTTATACACTTAGAAGCAGACATGGCCGGCAGTTGGTCAGAACAGAGACAAACAAGATTTCAAAGAACAATATGCAGATGAGGTGTGAAAGAAACAGGAAACCACAGCTGAACAAGACGTGATTGCGTCTGTACTTGCAGGTCAAGACGTTCTGTCCTGACAGACATACGACTGTTTTGATTAGCTTGTAGAACAGCTTTGTACAAAAAGATTCTCCTTTTAGGAAAATCCACGGAATTTCTTTTCACTTTAATTCAAGCCTGTGATATTAATGTTGGAGTTGTTTAGCATGTTTGCTATCTCTTAGCCTGTTGGCTAGCTGACCAGCTTAGTTCCAGTTGCGAAAATAAGTTTTCAGATTAAACAAAAACGGGTTCTTACTTCATAAGTAATATTTTTTACACCTGCTAAAGCATAAAATGAAGCTTATGTACTGAAAACACACAGATCTGTCAAATGCAGTGGCACTATTGACTATTAGCCTGTAGTAGTAATCAGCTGAAAACAATGTTATCAATGACTGTAATGAATTAGCAACTGAAAAAAAAAGAAGTATATATTTGTAGGCGGATTCCATATAAAACTGTACCAAAAATACAGATGGAGATGCAAATTTTTTTTGGGGAAAACAATGTGAAAAATCAAACAGAATTTCTGTATAATGAACATTCATTACACAGCATGAACATAAGTTTGGATTTATTCTACCTCAGCATCCTCTCTCTCTCTCTCTGGGCTGAGTATTATCTTCCCTGGACAGACAGTGTGGGACAGGCCATCTCTACAGTGGCACTGTCCCGACAAGACTTGACTGCTGTCAGTAAGCAGCCTTTCAAATCTGTAAAAACAGAATATGTTTGGCTCTTTGTAAAGTGTTCAATATTTCTATTCCCGCCTGCACCAGTGCAGTGATGCATCCTCTACATCTTCCACTGGGCCCTGCACTTTAGAACTGTGGTTTGCAATGAAAACCATGTGTACTGTTTAGAATATATACAGTCAGCTCCATAATTATTGGGTCATGAAAAATTATTTGTGGATATTCAGCTCAATCTTACACTGAATGTATGACTATATGAAACAAACCTAACATTTAATTGAAGTATGTTTAGTCTAAAAAATTCAAACATCCTTCAAAAAAATTTTTTTATAACAAATGTCATAATTTCTAGCACCCTACAGTAATCTGTGCAGCTTCTCTTTGCCAACATAACAGCAATGAGTCTTCTTCCATAATGCTGGATGAGACTGCAGAATCCAGAGCAAGGAATACAGTATCAATACAGGATCTCTCTAGATCCTCCTCGGCCCCAGGTTCACTAGGTTCACTGGACTTCACCTCAGCCCACAGATTTTCAGAGGGGTTTAAGGTCAGGGGACTGGGCTGGCTATCTGACAAGATACACTTGCATCCTCAGAGGCAGGTTCCCTATGGAAAAGGTTTGGGGAACTATGCTAGCAACTTAAAAAAATCCTCTACAAAGTGCATCACAGATATGTCTAATTTGGACCACATAATCTTTTACCTTGGACAGCCAGTTTTTCTCTATTTAGCTTGCTCATGCATGACTAGACTATGGTTACTGATCTGAACTCTAACAGGATGTGCCTTTGCTCTGTATCTCTGATGGAGAAGAGATATAAGGAATTGAGTAAGTGTGTCTGAATGTTTGGTAACATATAATTTTGTTTTGCTGTTCTGTACCAATTTTCCAGATAAGAAATTTGTGTTTGCTTAGAATTTATTTATTCTTTTCAAATAATGTCACATTTGTTTCGGCAACTTTGGTGAAATCGCACTTCATTTGGCAACATACTGGACCAGAGGATGGTCACTCCACACAGGCAGGCTGGACAGCTTCTCTTCTGTGCTGGCTTGGATGGGCCAGCCCCAGGCTTTGAAGAAAGAGACCAGATTCTTCTTTACCACCGTGGAGAAGGTCTCGGCGTACAGGTTCATTTTGCCACCGTTGTCCTCTGGTACATCATTCATATCATGGTAAGCTGCAAAGACTTTCTTGAAGGCATCCCAGCCAAACTGTTCTTGAAGCTTTTGGAAAAATCAGATAAAAACATACAGGTGATGACTGAATGTTAAAAGTCCCACATCATCATAAAACAAAATTCTGTCACCTTTATAATTAGGAGTCTAATGCAGTTCAAAACTATCTATTCTCTCCCCAGTCCACACAGCCCATATATGGAAACTAAGCAGCAAAAAACAGCCTGTTTTGAAATCACTGGTTTTGTGACGTCATGAAAACCAACCCATTTACATTCATATCCACCTATTTAGTTTACAATAGTATAGCCCTTTTATGCTGAAATAATAAGGGATGTTTTAGCCTGGACTGCCTTTTTGAACAAGGCACAGTACAGAGCAGCTTATTAAGCATTAAAAGTATTTACTGCTCTGGCCAATAAACAGCTTTGTCTACTGTTTTTCATCAGTTCAAAGGGAAAAGTTCTGCTGCCAAAGTACACACGTTTTCATTCTGTCCCTTGCCACTCTGAGGGCTCATCTAATAGGGTGACCATACATCCTCTTTTAGCAGCTTAAAAAATTGTTTAAAATTGTCTAAAATGTCAGTAATTTGGGTTTTCAAATTGACCTTTGCTTTCTGCTCCAAGCTGCCCTCCTGCCCCCAGTGGCCTCTTTTTTGAAAAGCAAAATATGGTCACGCTATCATCTAATTAACCTATGCTAACACAGTAATGGAACAACGGAACATTGTGTTGGAGATTCCTCTGAGGGAAAATCCTAAGGCCGAGTCATTGATAAAAACAGTACTGAAATAACTGGCAAGTCTGACTGAAGTCAAAGTCCAGTACTCAAATCCTAGAATCCTAAAATTATTACTTGCATGTATAATGTTTGAAAAAGTTCACAAGCTTAAGTCCAACTCAGCCTCTAAGCTATGAAAAACCTGTCTGGCATCCAGTACTACAGTTCTCTGACCTGCATGTAAGTCTCCAGTGCTGTCCAGACATTCCAGTCTTCCAGACGTCGACCTCCCTTGATGTATCTCTTAATTCGGCTCTGTCTTCTGTGTTCTGTCATTTCCTCATGAGCGTTTGCCCTGTTCACACCCAGCACCACCTCGTGTACATATACAGACCACAGGTTACAGGTACACTCAGTAGTGTGTGGTGGAAACTCCCAGACTGAGTGTTGCTGGTTATGGCCCAATTCATGGACCGGGCCCCAGAAATCACTTTTCCCAGCAGCATATGGATTCATCAAGTCAGGGGCAGATACAGAGTGCATCATAATGGGGTAACCTGAATGCATATAGCCTGTGGAAACAAGACCATCATCTTTAAGTAATATGATTAGTTCATGAAGTGAAATGTTAAATGTAGTGTAAATCATGTAATCACTAATGGGTCTTTCTGATAAAATATTACACGATACAGACCAGCTGAGATCTGAACATCAGCGACGAAGCGTTCCTTGCGGGTAAACTTTGCAGGCTTAGCAGCCAACTCAGCTACACTCCTCATAATGGAATCCCAGATAGCGGCCACTTCGTCTGGACGGTCCAGGTGTCGTATCACGTCTGATGGCAAGGTGATGATGAGATTCTCGAACTCCAGCTCTGCCCAAGGTGCTGGTGCTTTACGGATCTCAGCGACCCAGTCAGATGCGCTGGTCTCTCCTGAGAGAATAGTTAATATTCATAGTTTTTACTTTTATCATGTACTGCAGTAGCTCACTTTGGCTTACTAAGAATGAGCAAGTATTAAATAAATGTACCAGACTTGTAGTACGGTGCTTTTACAGCTGTCTGTATGACGACCTCCATCTCAGGTACTGTAGTTCTAGGAGGTGCGATCAGGTATATGAGTCCTCCCCACAGATTCCAGACTTGCAGATTCTCTTTTTCCAAAGGTGAACGTACAAACACCACCGGAGCTCGTTTCAGTTCATCTGCGCTGCTTAAGTCATCTGTTTGACAGCCGATCTGCACCTGCAAGTATGTGGAATTTAATTACATACATCAAATATGCACAATACAAAATGTTAATAGTTGTGGTTTATTGTAGGTTTGTTGCATATCTGACCACAAGCTCAACACACTGTACATCAGACTAGTTTCCTAGATGATTAAGTGCAAGAGCAAATATTAATTTTCTCATACACTCACTTGCCAGGAAGTGGCTGTTTAACATCAGCCTAAGTGGTTTAAAGGCAATAAAAGAACCGAAAATGAAGAATAAACAGAAATGTGAAGCATAATACACTTTTTCACAACACGTAAAAGTGTACAGTAGCTTAATACCCTACCTAAAAGCTCACCTTTATAATAAAAAATAGTCTGAATACAATGAAACCATACCTGCCAACCCTTTCCTAGTATTGTCCCAGGCACTGTCATGTTGGTCTTCATTCCAGGAGAAAGATACAGACCTGTGCTTATCCATTCTTCATCATCTGAAATGAGTAAGCAATGTGATAGTTTTTTTCAATGTGTAAACACTTCACACAGATATTACCCTGTAATATATATAGTGTTTATAAATCATATAGACATTACAGTATCAGACTTCAGTTGCCAGAGCACTGTAGTCTACTTCATTTAATATACCTGTGCCAGCTCTTTAGCTACCTAACAAGGCAATCATGTGTTAAAACAAGTAAATTAAAATTATGAGAAAATTATGAAAACCTAATAAGTTGTAAGCTGCTTAACTGACAAGAAAGGTATTACCTGCTGTGTTAGCACTGATCCAGACTCTTGCATTGGACACAGTTTGTAGGTCAGGTGTGTCTACGATGAGGTATGACAGAAGTTCATCAGTGTCTTTGCTGAGCCTAAATAACTCTGTCCCCACCTGGAGGAGCAGGTGATCCTTTGCACTTTTAACAGGATGTGTAGGAGACACCTGTGGAAATCCTGCCTTAATTATGTCTGTGAGAAGTACAACTACTGACTTATACATGTCACAGTCGAATGCCTGCATGCGGAGATAACTGGCACAGTCACTGCCAAACTTCTTCAGATACCATTGTTCATAATCTCCCAGCTGCTGACCCTGAAGCACATGCCCAGCAAAATGCTGAAGCAAATCCTGGAAATGATACATCCGTGTAGAAGAAATGCCATAATGCTTCACCTGTGGGGCCTTGTACAACCCAGCTTTCACAGTTTTCTCCAAGAGGCTCAATCCCATCTTGCTGAGGATGTGATTTCCAGGGCAATCTGTCATCACATTGCAGCCAGGATTGCAATGAGCCCACCACCAAGCATGTCCACCTACCAGGAGGCCACCACCACCAGCAACAAATTCCTGGATCTCTTTACACTGAGCATCATTGTATGACGTACAGACAAAGACACTCAGGCCCCTCTCAAAACCAGTCAACCTACACTGTAGTCCTGACTTATTCAGCAGACAGTAGGCCCTTTGAAGTTCAGGTAAGACACCGATAACCCCCTTACGACCTTTATCAAGCCAGTGGACGGCATTGATCATGAAAGTGGACAGTGGTTCACGGTCTAGGTAAGCCTCATGGCTGGCCACAATTACTCGTCCCTGTCCATGTAAGCCCCAGCAAAGAATGCCTTTCCATCTGGGGTGAGTCCAATAGGAAATGCTGAGGGACCATGCAACAGTACCTCAGATGGTACAGACTCACCCTGGATGTCAAACTCAGAAACTCCTTGTAAAAGAAATTCTATTGCATCTTGAGGAAAATGTGGAGCCTTGTACAACCCAGCTTTCACAGTTTTCTCCAAGAGGCTCAATCCCATCTTGCTGAGGATACGATTTCCAGGGCAATCTGTCATCACATTGCAGCCAGGGTTGCAATAAGCCCACCACCAAGCATGTCCCCCGATCAGGAGGCCACCACCACCAGCAACAAATTCCTGGATCTCTTTACACTGAGCATCACTGTATGACGTACAGACAAAGACGCTCAGGCCCTTCTCAAAACCAGTCAACCTACACTGTAGTCCTGACTTATTCAGCAGACAGAAGGCCTCTTTAAGATCAGGTAAGATGCCGATAACCCCCTTACGACCATTATCAAGCCAGTGGACAGCATTGATCATGAAAGTAGACAGTGGTTCACGACCCAAGTAACTCTCATGGCTGGCTACAATTACTCGTCCCTGTCCAAAGTAGGCCCCAGCAAGAAATGCCTTTCCACTTGGTGTGAGTCCAATAGGAAATGCTGAAGATCCATGTACCAGCACCACAGATGGCACAGACTCACCCTGGATGTCAAATTCAGACACACCTTGTAAAAGGAATTCCAGATCATCTTTGAAATTCTTGCCTTTCCTGGGGAATAGAAACAAGTAGAGAAATCACAAAAAAGAAAAGACTAAAATAAAATAAATGTTTTCAGGGGTTTTCCTGGATCAAAGTGGCAGCTTTGGTGTGATAAAACAGACATGACCTGTTCTATGAGGTTAACTTGGTGTCAACCTGAATTTGTGATACTGAATCTGAATTCCTGATGCTTTTCCAGGTTGAGAAATTCAGGCTGTAAAATTCAGGTCTGGAAATTCAGGGAAAAGTCCAGAGCACTCGGGAAGAGTATGGTACGTGGTACTAGTATTATTGTTTGATTGGTTGTTCATACAGATCTAAGCTGATTCTTGATTCATACAGATCTTCTAATTTTTACCCCGATTTTCTCCCCAATTTAGTCGTCTCCAATTCCACCCCGCTAGTTAGGACTCCCCCCAATCACACGATGCTATCAACGCTAGGAGGGCGAAGGCTAACACAGGCTTCCTCCGAGACCTGTGAACCCAGCCACCGCATCTTTTCGAACTGCCACTCACGCAAAGTCATTGGACAGCTGAACACGCTCTGAGGAAAGCACCAACCGCCAGATCTGTTACGTCAGCTAACAGACGCCTGCGCTGACTAGCATCGCGCTTAGTGAGTGATGGGGGGAAGAAGGGCAGCCATCCCACCCACCCAGAGAGAGCGAGGCCAATTGTGCTCTCTCTGACTCAAGTTTCAAGTTTATTTGTCATATGCACAACATGCCAGGACATTTATGCATTGAAATGCTTGTGGCGAGGCTCGGACAAACACTCTACAGAAAGTAAATAAGTAAAAATAAAATTACAAGAAAAACAAACTGAAATATATTAAATATACACAAAATATAGAGAAAATATGGATAAAAATATACACAAATATAGAGAAATGTACACAAATATACAGACAATATACATTTTAAAGTGACTAAGTGACTGTTATTGTTCTTAAAGTGGCTTAGTGTTAAGGTGTTATTGTCCATAGCAGAGATGACATGATGTAATAATAATACTGACAAAAAGACTGAGTGAAATGGTATTTAGTGAAGGACCCACAGCTTCACAGCTTGTTCAGTAGCCTGACAGCCTGTGGGTAGAAACTGTTCATTAACCGGGTTGTCCTAGCCTGTATGCTACGAAATCTCCTGCCTGATGGCAGGATGGTGAACAGGCTGTGTGCTGGGTGGCTGCTGTCTGACCGGATCTTTTTGGTCTTCCTGAGGCAGCGGGACTGGTAGACATCCTCTAAGGCTGGTAGTCTGTTGCCTATGATGGCTTCTGCTGTCCTCACCACTCCTTTAAGGGCCTTGCAGTCACAGGCAGTGCAGCTGCTGTACCAGACAGTGATGCAGCCTGTGAGGATGCTCTCTATGGTGCATCTGTAGAAGTTGGTGAGGATCTGAGGAGGCAGACCAAACTTCCTGAGCCTGCGCAGAAAGAAGAGACGCTGACGGGCAGATCTTACGATAGTGTTGGTGTGGAGGGACCAGGTGAGGTCATCAGTGAGGTGTACGCCGAGGAACTTCACACTGCTGACTCTCTCCACTTCAGCTCCATTGATGAACAGGGGAGAGTGAGGAGAGATCTCCTTTGTTTTGCTGATGTTGAGACAGAGATTGCTGTCATGACACCACTCTGACAGAGCGCTGCCCTCGTCTCTGTAGGCTGTTTCATCTCCATCAGTGATGAGTGTCTGCGGTGGTGTCATCAGCAAACTTGAAGATGATGTAAGACGTGTGTTTGGCTACACAGTCATGTGTATACAGGGAGTACAGGAGGGGGCTGAGCACACATCCCTGGGGAGCCCCTGTGCTCAGAGTCAGTGTGGAAGAGAAGCTGTTCCCAGCTTTCACCACCTGAGGTCTGCTCATCAAGAAGTCCCGGCTACGGATGGTTGTAGCATCACCAGGAATCGAACTCGCGATCTCCTGATGATAGGGCCAACACTTAGACGGTTGCGCCACTCGGGAGCCCCGATTCATACAGATCTAAGCTGATTCTTTCTTATGATGTACATGAGACTTCTATGCTTGTTTGTTCTTCCTGAGTACCCTGGATGTTTCCTTGAATTGCCAGACCTGAATTTTACAACATGAATTTATGTAGATATGCACTGGAAGTAAAACAAAAAGTGTCTGAATACTGCCCCCCCTCCCCCAGATAAATGTTTACAACAAAACTGAGTAGACTTGATATGGCACATTTACAAATGATACATCACTGACAGAAGCCGTGGTCTCCTCAAAAAGAAAAACACAAAGTTTGACATCGTTACAATAGCAGAACCCTTTTTGGTGCTGTTCAGAACCACACACAACACATTCTCCTTCAGTCTGAACTGTTTTACCATCCAAAGAACTATTTAAGCATGACATGGTTCTAAATAGAACCATTGCCTTTCCTAAAGAACCCTTGAAGAACTATCTTTTTAAAGCACACTGTATTACTGCACAAGTTTAAATAAGGATGCCTTCATGAAAATAATAAAGTGGGTGTATTAGATTCCTTATGTTTAAACCTAAATGGATCATTCAGTGTGTCAGACTCAGATATTAAAGTAAGATATTAAATATATTATATTAATCATATTTATTGTACACGAGCCGCCGTTGACCGCCCAGATAATAATGAAAACTGACTCATCAGTGCCATAAACCGGCGCAGCAGCATTTAAGGTGGACCGGGCAATTCGAAAATGAAACTAGGAACAAGAAGCCAGGTGAAGCGTGTGCAGACCACTTGCGTTCCTTCTATCATTGTGCTTTATGTAAACTAAATGCAGTCGTTACTATTATAGACAAAGTACTACTAAGGCTGAACTATTTTAGCCGACATGACCGCTGGTCATTTTAATATTAGCACAATGTGGGAGGAAGTTTACTGACATAGTTCAGCCTTTTCCAAGAAGAGCTTCTGAGTCAGTCAGATGAGTGTACAGCGCTGTGGAGCCCAGCACCGCCGAACAATGGTCATCTGATCCGTTTGTTGGTCTCCTCAGTGTGAGGATGTGGAAAATCCCCACCGCGTTAAACTACTTTCAGTTTCAGCCCACAGTCGCCCAAACCCTACAGCCGCTGACCCTTCACAGTCTGGAGGCTCCATCATATCCAGTACACAACAAAACCAGACACTGAAGTTCAAATCTGAGTTAAAGCAGGTCTAAATAACTGGCCCTCCATAAACACAAACACTCGCAGGTAAAGATCTTTATCCTAACAGTGTATCGGGCTACTTACATGACTAGATATGATCACGGTTTCCTGCCACAGCAAGTGAAAACTTCAAGCACTGGTTGAAATATGAACAGGACAGCTAGTAATGCTCCGTGTGAATAAGGGAAGACCCGCCCTTCAAAAAACAGCCAATCGCCTGAGAACTGCCAGAGAGCCTCCTCCAGAAACCTGAGAGAATGGGAGTAAATGGAGGAAATACTGAACTACTGTTCAGATATAAAATACATAGAACATCCTACAGGATTTATGGAGAGGAATTCGTGCTAATGCTGACTAAAATATAATTAAAGTTCAAGTATATTTCCCAAGTATATTTTATGTAGTACATATACTAATATCTGTGTACTGGTAGTGTGTTTGTAATACTTGTATATTTCAATACTTCTTGGGACCAAATTGGCCCACTTATATTTCATAAAAGTATATTTGTAAGTACATTTTAGGTGCAAGAGTTTGAGGACACAACTAGTTTATGTCTAAATGTTATTTTGTACTGCAACTCTACTGTGAACTACACTAAAAGTGAACTTAAACTGTGTAAACTGGTTGCTGTGGCTGTGGCCTATGGGGAGCCCAGAGACGCTCACAGACAAAGCAGCGCAAGTGCAGCACTTCTTTAAGGTCTTTTTCTTTTCTCTCTTTTTAACAGACTCCTTCTCCAGCCACAGAGCTCTCTCTCCCTCCATGCTGGAAAGAGCCTTTCACTTCTATCCCATTTTTTAGTTTAGGAAAGTGCACTTTTAAGTACACTCTCAGTAAAATACTAGTTAAATACATTTTATACTGTAAGCACACTTGTAAGTTTTCTTTAATTGAAGCCAGTAGTTATAGTTTATCACCTTTGCACTTTAACTACTAGGTTTCTGTTCAGGTATTATTTTTTATACTTAAAATATACCTTTAACTGTACTTTAGGTAGACTTGAAGTTAACTCATATGAACACTACTAATGGAGTACACAAATATTCACAAGACATACTCAGGATTAAGAACACATTTATTTTCTCTATACTTGAATAAACTTCTTTTTTAAAGGGAAAACAGCACATGAGGATTTTTATAAATGTCAGAACTGAACGCAGTACACCTTAAGATGTAGGCCTCATCAATGCACAGCTATATTGCTTTCCACAGCACTTCAATGTATATACGTTACTGAGATGCAGTCATAGCAGTGACAAGTTGAGACATATGCACACATGAGATTGCATTTACCCTTTAAAATCCCAGATGTATTAAATACCAAAGCTTATTATTCAGTAACTACAGGGACATCAGTGCAAACTGGCTGAGCTGTTCTTAGGTTATATAAGTGTGTAACAAAACTTTGGGCCCACTAATAATAAATGAAAAGTATCCGATCCATTACATTACTTTAACATTGTTTATAGTCCTGCATGTTAGAAAGCAATATAGTTACATTTCAAGGTAGATTGTGTTCAGTTCTGACACTAATTCAGCATTTTTTACACAAATTCTCATGTATTGTATTTCAGTAAAGAAATCAAGTCATGTGTAAATAATGTAATAGAGGTTTTTGCTTTCCTTTTTGGCACATATTCCGCATGTCATTATTGAAAAGTAATGCCATGTGTACAATGAGTTTCAGGTTCTTCAACTGTAGTGATTCCATTTCAATACTGTCTATATTGGTGCAGCTCAGTGGCAGCAATGATCCATTTTTGAATTTCAGTAGCATTTCAAGCACAGTCTCTGGAGTTCTGATTTATTGCAATAACTACTTTAAAATAACGTGGTACGCACAAATGCCATGATATAATGTTAGAGCGAACAACAACACAGCAAGTAATGCAACTAATGGTAGCTGGGTTGTGGGTTAGCAAACTGTCGCTACAGTTGCTACTGCAAAAAAGCCACAAACATTAGCAAACAGGACAAAACAGTACTGACTTACTGATTCTGTGAAGCTGCAAAATAACTTAGTTATCCACCTGTTGAGTAGAAACAGAAACATCCACATTCCCTTTCCTGCCTTTCACCTTCCGATAAAGCTAAAGTCAGCTTTGCCAGCTTCTTGTTCAAATTTTCCTGTTCCACCTTAAATGGTGCAGCAGTTACATTCTGGCACCTCAGGCTAGCATAACCATTGAAATAACCATCTAACAGGACAAACCAGTCCTCCTGCTTCATAATTGGGTTTTAAATGTACTGAAAAGGCTAAAAGGGCTGACATGCGATGGCTTTTGCAGTTCTGCGTCTTATTTTTTATTTTCAGCTCCTGCCAAAGCCGTAGGTCATGAAGTTAGTGCAGTGTAAGCTAAGCTAAGATTAGTGCTCGGGTGCTAGCTAACATGTTAACAGAAACGAATCCTCAAAGCTTTGACAACAAACTGCGTTAATTACAGCTCTGCATGTGAGTTTACAGCCAAACAGAAGCCAAATATGTTAATATACTACAGGAAAAATGTTTTTCATTAGTGAAATTAATACCACAAGAATGAAGTTCTTCTTGTTCAGACTTTTCCATTTCACCTTAAATGGTGCAGCAGTTACATTCTGAAATATGGCCCCCCATTAAAACATACTGTAAAGCAGATATTACATAACATCCATAATTACTACTGCCACTGAACACAGTGTTAAACACGCTCTTGTCCCAAATGCTTCTGGAATGTGTTCTAGGCATCATATTTAGAATGAGCACATTTTGGCAAAAACACAAATTCATAAGGTAAAATATCAAATATCATGTTTTTGTACTTTTTTCTGTTTAATACAAGTCAAATAATTTACTAACCACTGCTTTCTGTTTTCATTTCTCATACTGTCCCAGCTTTTTTGGAACTGAAATACATTTCCCAACTCTTGTTTTTAATTGATATAGTTTCTTTACATGATGCACACTGATATTAACAAAAATGAGTCTTATGTACAGTAAACATTGTGAACACTAAATATGCATCACAGGCCAAGAAACACAACAGAAAACACTGCTGTTCAAAGCTGGAAGGAAAAAACTGATTGTCACAATGGTCATTTCAATGGTCAGTTATTTCTAGAAAATAAATAATAATCACTGAAACAAACCAAATGTAGACCTACATAAAAGCCCTTAACATGAGAAAATGCATACAAGAATGATGATCGACAGGCTGAAAGTTTTAGTAGCTTCTTATTTGAAGTTCTTAATCCATTAAACTCATTTTCTTAAAGGGGAACTCCAGTGATTTTCCAAATTTTCTGCATGATTAAATAGTTAACATGTAAACAAAGCCATTCAGAGTGGTTTGGTGTGAAATGCTCCATTCTAGAGAAACTTACCAAGTCAGAATTCCTTACAATGGTGGTGACAGGAACCAGATGTCCGCCTCTAAAAACTCCTGGTTCCTATCATCACCCCTGTAAAAAAATCAGGGTCAGTAAGTTTCTCTATAAATGAACCATTTCACCTCAAACCACTCTAAAAGACTGTCTGCATCTCAACCACTGAGTTACACAGAACTTTTGGAAAATTCCCCTTTGCTGCCATCACTATATTCCGCCTGTAGACAGCACTGCCAGCCAATTTTCGTCATTAGCCTGTGTAATCAGTGTAAAACAGGACTATCTGGTAGATCTGTTTCCCTTTTTTTGAACTGCCTATTTTATATACCTGAATAGCAGTGCATTAATATAGGCTTAGGCTTAGACTCTGCACCGATTTTAGTTTGAGAGGCTGATACACATTAGGCCACCAAACACTCACCTTAACATGAAAGATTAAGAGTTCATAAAATGATACAACTTGCTTTCATACTGGCCCTTAGTGGTCTTCATCCTCAAAGAACCATGATATAATGTATAAGAGGGTCTTGTTGTCTTTATGTCCCCATATATAGACCACAAAATAAAGGGTTAAAACATTTTGGCCCACTAAAAAGTCAATATATCAGAAAGAATGAAAGAATTCCTGACTGACACATAGTGATATTTTATGTCATCATGTATTGTACAAAAAGACCAAATGTCTCTGTGTATGTATATTTATATCAGTGTATAAAGAGATTAAACAATTTGGACCAAAAGAACCGGCCTTAATATGGAAAACTGGCATGTCTGAAAAAGGCGTTTGGTTTTAGACAAGCCCACAGTGTTCCATCATTACTTGTCTAAGTAGGTCTCATTTCCCTATGCAAATCAATATTCAAACTACAGTATGAGGTAAAAAGGGACCTTAAATGTAAACAAAGTCATTTAGATTGGTTTGATGTGAAATATTTAATTGTAGAGAAACGTACCAACTCTGATTTCTTTACAGTGGTGATGACAGGAATTAGGGATCGAACCACCAATGAATCTATATGTCTTCTGAGTTTTAATATGGAATGTTGATCAGAATCAGTGCCACTTTATTTCAACAAGTATGTTACACACACAAGGAATTTGTCTTGGTGAGTCACACATGTATGACGTGTAACACACTGAACAGACCAGACAAGAGTACAGACTATTAATAAGTACTTAACCAATGGAAAATTAAAATAAAAATACATTAAATAAAGAAAAATAATTAATAAAGAGCCATGGAGGAGCTAAAGAGATGTGTGAATATCTCTACATTTGCAGATAAGAATATCTATACATATGCAGGTCTGATAATATACTATAACATTATATACAGAATATTACAGAATCTGAATATTATAAGACATTTAACAGAGGAGTTACTGTAAGGAGGTTTGTTGGTTTAAAATGCAGGGTGTCCACTGTGGTTGAAGAGCTACAGCTCTGGGGAAAAAGCTGTTAGCATGTCTGGTTGAGCTGGTTATGATGGCTTTAAAGAAGTGTGTTTTTTTCTGTAATATTCAATATTTTATTAGAGTAGATGCAAATAAACATAAATGCAGTAAAAAGTAACAGTAATTTAAAAGTTAAAAAGTAGTTGATATCTTGTGAGCTAGTTTGAAGAACAAAGTTTAGATCTTTCCTTGACGCCTCCAGCTATTGCATGAATTTGTTAAATTCCATCCCCAGCACACCTGATTAGCCAAACCAGGTATTGGATGATAACTACACATAATACTGAACTTGCCTAATTACAAACACACTTGACGTACGTAAAACCACTCATTTTTGCATAAATGTTATTTGAATTTATTTTACTGTTAGCATTTTTACTG